CAATCATTAATCAATTAATTGAAAAAACAAATTTATGGTTTCGTCATATTTATGAAAGTAGAATAGAATTTTAGATCTCTACAATAGTGGGGGGATAAGAGTGAATAGTTCTAATAGAGAATAAATAAATAATACAACCCGGTTATTAAATTCTCACCATTCTCATAATTAATAGAAAACAACTAGCGAACAGAATGAATCAGTCAGGTGATGAATTACTAAATTAATAATAAAGTGAATTATATAGTTGAAAGGTTCATTGAAATAAATTTTACATGTTGAAATAATAGACATCACATTCCATCCGGTCGTGAACGCACAAGGATTTGAAAAAAAATGTGTATCAAGAACGGTTCTTCTAAAAAGAACACAACAATCATAGTAGTAGAAGGATGAATGAAAACAGAAAAGTCTAATTAATGGTCATGATATTAACTAATCATACGGTGCTTCTCACATATATTGAGAACTAAACTCTCACTAATCGATTTCTACTTAAATTAGTCACTGATGCAAATTTCTACATTTGAACAACCCAGTTAAAGGAAAGATGAATTGTGAGAAAGAATATCAAATTCTATCTATGCGGTCTAAATGTATTACACTCAATTTGCAAGATTTAAAGTTCCTGATTCTTACTGAATAAACGATTGTGGATTATCACCACTGATAAGCTTATATATATATATATATATGCACGTCTCCTGGTTTTCATTATGTCTAGATGATGTTGGTTGACGAGGAAAAGTTTTCCTTAACTTACTAAAATCTATTTGTAAGATTAATAAATAAGTTGTTAGTAAATGATTAAGAAAAATTTTGAAAACGTTTATAATCAATAGCCGTTTTGTCCTAGTACAGTGCTCCTCAGACGTGCGTATCAACCATTTAATTACCCTCAGGTTTCAACGCAAGTGCTCTACTTTATGTCCACTGAGTTATAAGACAACATTACAGTAGATCCAACTTCAATTAATTTATGTTTTAGTACAAAAATTATTCAATCCTACTGGTAAACATTTTCTCCTTTCCTGGTATAATACGCATTTCTGAAGACTAATGCAATATGACTATTCAGTGCGTCCTGGCCTCGAACTCAGTTTAAAATTACTCTCTCAGTTATAGTAACTTTATCAATCTAAATTATTTTCAAATTAAAATGAGCCATTACAAACTTTTCAATAATAATAATAAGATTTTCTCAACAATTTTTTAAAAAAAAGATACCATTTAGGCTTTGGATACCCCTGAGAGACGGTTAAAGTGTATTTCAATTAGAATACAATAAAATTGTTAGATTGCTTAGTAACATGTGTTTTCATCGATCAGGTATTATCTCATATCTAAATCTTAGGTCATACAAAAAATTTAATGTCTCAAAGATGTCGAGAGAATGAAATCGATTAAAATTGACTGAGAGTCGGAGAAATAGAGACATTCTCTATGTTCATTATTTCTGGTAATAATTATTATTACACATATAAATAAAGTAAATATTTTAAAGAATCTAACCAAAACTATGTTATACTGACTGAATGTAATCTGATTCGGTAATCTATTACTTTACTTCTTTTGTTCAACACAAAATGATAGAGACATACACACATATACATCATGCAGACATCAATATAATCACAATTGATTGATCACTGGGTGGTGATCAATGTCATGCTTGTCTAGTCCTTATTAGTGCAGATCCAATGCTATCGATCATGTTGCAATGTGGCCACCAGTCTAGGTGACTCGACACTGCGGGCACAATGTATTGAGATTTGGATGGTGGTTGGAGGTAGTCAACAGGAATCCCTGGACACGGGTTTCGTGCTACTTGGCACTCGTCAGCAAGGTGTACGTGTAATCTTGAGGGAACTGTTGGTCGCTGGCGGATTCGATCTCGTGTCACCCAGCTTCACAGTCAGAGACGTTACCACTGAGCTATCCGAGCCGTGACTAACCTCCTGTAGGACTGAGATGTAATTACAATTGATTGATCACTGGGTGGTGGGTCTCTGACTGTGAAGCTGGGTGACACGAGATCGAATCCGCCAGGGAGCACCAGTTCCCTCAAGATTACAGGTACACCTTGCTGAAGAGTGCCAAATAGCACGAAACCCGGGTCCAGGGTTTCCTGTTGACTACCTCCAACCACCATCTAAGACATCAATATAATTAATTAGATGTTTGAGTGAAACACTTCTACATTATTATCCACATATGTTAATAGATATACATATGCTAACCTGTATCTTATCATTTCGGACACACAAAAACTAACATTAGTTGAAACTTTCTTAAACGAGAGTTTTGCTTCAAAAAACTTTGAACACATAGCAACGACTTAACTATGCTTATTTTCCAAACAATCTATTTCGGTTGAAGGGGTTTCGTGGAGATCGGTTTTATTTGTAGATTGTGTTCAATGGAGAATGCTTTCAGTAGGAGTGCCATTGAAAACCAGGGGTCAGTGGACACCAATTTTGTCCTACTACACGACTTCCAAATGCAAGCGAACATCCACGACCCTATGAGGTATCACATCTAGGAACTTCAGGTTCCACTTTGATCCCTGAGATTAATTTGTGATTAATATAACTTACACAAAGAACATTTACTTGTGAACCGTAGATTTTGGAAGGGTAAAAGTTTGAATCACTCCTTTATTCAAAACATATTGGTTTAAAATTAATTTACTAAAAACTAAATAAATAATGATACAATTCGATTGGTAGATTGTTTATCAAAGAGAAATTTTACCGAAATTAATGACACTTTTTTAAATTTAATTTCCTAATTAATGTTGACATAATGAAAGACATACATGTGGACCTGCCTATCAGACTCGAATGAATGTCTTGTAGATTCTAGCGTAAAGTAAAAAGTGAGTGACATTTATCTTTCATCATTTAAAAACTCTTATGGAAACACTTTAATATAATCACCACACTGTTTAACTTTTTTTTTTAGTTTTCATCATCATTAAGTTACAACGATAATGTTGAATGTGTTGAACCGCTACTTCTTTGTATGTAGATTGAACATACTACCGAAATCAATTAACTCCTGATTTAATATATTTTGCTTACAGGATAATTGCCAAGAAACTATTTGATTAGTAGTTTATTGAATAATAGACGAGCTACTGAAGTGTAGATATGTTAAAGTAGGTGTTTTCTACGAACAGCTACATTGTATCGCTATCTCATAACTCTATCCCACTAACGTTTGAATGAATTCAACAATAAAAATGTTGTACGTGACAATTTCCCATGACATTTCTCTTCGCTATAAGAATAGTGAGACAATATTCACACTCAGATTAATGAGGTTATGTAGGAATATTATTTTGATAATAAGGTCTAGAAACTGTTTTAATAAACCTTAAAAATAGTGATAAACTCTGTGGTTCACGACTTTTCACTAGTAGGCATTCAAAATCTTATAACAGATTGAACTCCGAGTATTTCGACCTCACAGTAAACACGACAATATCATGCTACTGAATTGATGTTTATTAGATCACATTCCCCTTTTCAGAGTTTCTCATCGATCTAATCCAAATACCTAACATCATTATATAATACACACGATGTCCAGCCACTAAGAATTATGGCTACGTTGCAATTTGATCAATAGAATTCCAGCAGAAGCTATCACCAGACGAACATGACATTGCTCACTGCTCAGTGATCAATCAATATAAGTATTTCAGAATAGCTAAGTGGTTATGTTGCAGACTGTTAAAGTGTGTGAATCTGATTTTAATCACACAGGAAAGATAAGTTCCCTCAAGTTTAAGGATATGCTCTTCTGAAAAGTGTCAACTAACATGAAATCTACATCAATAAGAGTTCTCCACTCACTGACTACCTCAAAGCACCTAGGAGTGTTGATATACAACTAGACGTATTGATATCTATGAAAAAATAATTGATTAATACGAGGGAATGAAAAACTAATCACAACTATTTACATGGTGATTGCATATGTCATAAAGTGATGAAAATGTAGACGCAATTTTGTACTTAGTTACATGGTCAGAATAAACAAAAAATGATCAGGCAAACATTTTCAGACGTAAGGAGATCAGAAATGTAGTTGCAGAGATTTCTATGACCTAATTTCATATTTAAAAACAACAAATCTAAAAGTCGTGGTTAAATTGGATAAAATTTGATAGATAAGTTTAGAAGAACTACCTATGCAATAGTTAAGTGTGAAGTATTAATTAAATGTACTGAAAATAACTACTACCTGTTTACCTTCTCTATTCTTTACTGAATTGTAAAAGGTTGATATTCATAAATATCATAATAAATCTGTCCAGTTTCATTCAGAATATATAGCCCCAACTATACAGGATTAGTAAGATTGATAAATTACTAGAATAGGAGGATGGTAGAGATTGTAGTGATTTTTTAATAGTTGATTTCATGAGTCGTCTTAGTATGGGATTGTTCGACAGTGCGAAATGACCACTCAATGCTTCCAAGTTTTCAATGGCGGTCTAGTTTACATCAACTGATGAATTTTATTATTATAGAAATCGATATGAATCATTAATATTTCTGTAATAATCTAAATCAATTAACTACTTAAGTTTAATCTACATAAGTAGTATAACACTTTAAATATTTTTTTTTAAAAATTCTATTAAATATAAGAATTTTATATAAAATATAATCTCACATGATTATTTCTATGCCAAAAAGAATAACAAAGTTTTATAGAGTATTATTAATACCTGGTAATTATTTCATGATTATATAACAGTTTTTTTTGTTGTCTTTTCTTTGTTCCGGAAGAATAATCCTCATAACAACTCAACATGTTCATTGAAACTTTATTTTAAGCCAATTAAAATATGTAGATATTTTCTAAAGCTATTTAATTGTTGTTTTATTTTATTTTTTTTTGTATTTTGAATCCATAGCTTTTAGTTAAAACAATAATAATAATAATAATAATACAATTAATTATCTGTACAATGTTTCAATTTATAGGTTGTGCCTTCGTTACATTTTGTCATAGACAATCAGCTTTAAAATGTCAAGATGCTTTACATGGTAAACAGACGTTGCCTGGGGTAAGTTTAGTAATAATAATAATTATTATTATAATTAATACCCACTTACACACCTACACACACACACACATACACACACAAATAATTTGAAATAAGTTGTGAGATAAACCAACAAAAAGAATAAGACACACATGTTTGGTGAGATGTGGAATTGATGTTTTTGTTTAAATTTTCACGAATGGATACGGGGATAAATGTGCTCAGATAACTATAGGTGGGAATGATATGAATTCAAATGTAGCGTGAAAGATTTGATTAAAATAATATAACATGGATAACTGTAGAGGATTTGTTACCATTCTTTTTGTCATGATTTTCAATACTTTATCTATAAGATAATAATAATAATAATTGTTGTTATTATTAGGAATAGTACTACCATAGTAGTAGACGTGGCATGATTACGAATTCTATGAGGTTTTTGTTGTAACGGGTGACTGACTGCAGGTTTTGATACGCAGCGTTTATATCGATCGATCGGTTACAGTGACACGTAAATACGTACGAACGACCTAGTGTCCTGATTGGCCCTGCTTCCCTGTCTACCCCAGCCAGTTGAGTCCAGAACAAAAGTCACAGCCTCTGAGATATGAATCATTATATTTCAAACACACTCTGTTTATATACTAACCAAGCAGACCACATCATACCATAAAAATAGGAAACAACATTTACGCAATATTAAATAACTGAAGCAAATATCGACCAATAGGAAATGTACATTTAACGTCCAAGGACACCATTCGACTTGACACGATAATTATTGGCATATTCCTCTGCATACCTAACAGTTTTCGAATTACATTAACATTATTTTGAAATTACATGTAACACGTTTATCTCTCTATGCTTACAGTTATTGACTGATATCTTAGTCAATTAAAGATTTTGTGAAGTTTATTAAATAAAGAATAATTTTCAATCATTTTTCAATCATCATCCATAATATTTAACTAAAACTTGAGAACTTTACTTCATATTCTTTGTGACAAATAATCTTAATCAAGTCGTCAGTGAAACAGATATTACCAGCGACAATAAATGATCTTATCAATCAACCACATATTCATTGTATTCGGTTTTAATTTGTGTGAATGTTGGGATACTGCCCAGGTACCCAAACCGAGACTGGTGGTTTTCTTAGGAGGTCACGCCTGGAGATTTTGACATAAAGGTCTGACCCAAAAGGCAGTGGAGCAATGTCAGAAAATGCAGTCCCAACGATTGGTTTAAACACCATTTGTTCTTTCAGAAACTAATCGAATGATTTATGTGACGCATATCTATTTGGTAGCTCCTCGTACCGATGTTCATGTGTTTTAATAATAGACTAACGAAGTAAACATTGTATTCTGTGATTCGCACCATTAAATTCCAACTCAATGGTTTAAATGGTTAAGGGTTCACTAGTAAGATTTACGATCCTAACTTCATTTTTTTCCGAGAGACCATGATTGTACGCTCTCAAATAAGAAAGAAAGGGACAAGTATCCTCCAAGTTTTCAAATATACTTCAAGTGATGTCACACCTTTATAAGTCAAACTAATCTCTACAATACTTTAATGTTAAAATATAGTTTACATCATGAACTGATATCCACCTTGGCACTGGTGGATAATTAATAAAAAAAATACTTGTCAGTTGATATATTCATCCTAGTTTGCGAATCATAATAAGTTTGAACCTATGACTTTCAAGCCTAATGACAAGGATGATGGTATCAATGATAAACATTTCAAACTATTTTCAATGAAGAAGAGAGTAAAAATAAGTCATTAAAAGGGTTATGAGGACCATTTAAAGGTATCGTGTTTTTGCTAATGATCCAATACAGAGTGGCTGGATGCGGATTGTTTTGATTTTTTAATCTATGATGAAACATCCAAATACTGTTTCCTAACATTCAACGATTTTCCAGTTTAGATCAGTCCTGAAAGTAAAATAATTAAAAGTTTACTTCTCCTCTCTATAACACAGTGTTTTTTTCTCATTTTCCTTGATTCATATGGAAGAACTTTTAAAATTCTTAAATAGGTGGCCGTGTAATCAGAAAGATTTTTGCATAGACATTGTTTGATATAGCATAAAACAAAATGATTTCAAAGAAACAACATTATTTATTCAACGGACTGATCTTAACTAAACAATCAGTGAAACTACCAGAAAACACTAGACAATTGTTGCAACTTGGTATACAACTGCAAAGGCAGTGTTCATCCAAAATCCCATCGAAGATCAAACTCAGAAACCCTAGATTTATATAATTGAGTCGGCTCCGATAGTTTGCATCCTCACCGTTAGTCATTTCATAATATTGTGAAACCATTTCTGAATGTTAACTTTGAGAAATTATATCACATATGATACAAATGAAATTCACCAATTACGGTTTCTCACTAAAATTCTCGAAATTAACACTTAGTGAGCACATGATTATTATTATTAGTAATAGTATTAGTATGGGAGATTTATAGAGGTTGTTGAATCGTATAATTCCCATCATGATCTGATCGAGTTCTGTCTTAAATAGGGACGTGAATATGTATCGTTACAGAGTTCCATACTATGTCGAGACGATCAGTGCACGATGTTGCCTATCACATTCAAAAATGTTTACAAACGCTATACACTAATAACAATGTCGATTAGTGATAATACTTAGGGAGAAATGCTTTTGATAACTTTTACGAACATATCCTAACTTATTTTAATTCTCTTAATGAAACAGTCTACCAATGTTGTTACACAATATGTACCGATTTAAAGTAAAAAAACAACCAAAAACAACTAATTATCTTATTAATTATGTATCAATAGGCTATTCCATATATATTTATACTGTTCAGTAGAATAAGAGATAGTCGATTAATCAAATTATTATTTATCTGAATTGTGATATACAATTCTTGAAGTAGGTTTTGCTGAATCGTTTGTATAGTTTGAAGAGGTGAATCAACCAGATGATATTCAACCACCATTTTATCTCATTATGATACTCAGTAAAATAAAGATCTTCATGTGGAGGTTTGAACACACTAATCCTCTCTACCTCCAAGTAATCATGATGTATTCCAGTCAGAGATTTCACTGTTCTAAGTTTTCAAGTTTATTTATATTTATAATATGATGATGAGATCTTCATTCAGTGTTATCTCTCCTAATCAACATTTATGACAGTTAAGTAATATCATTTTAAAATGGTCAGATATATTTTTTAAGAAATGGATAAATTTTTGTATAATCAGAATGGGTTTTGTGGAGATTTTAGAAATTTCACAGATTGTAATCATGAGTCAGTTGAAGCTAGACCACCATTGAAAACCTGGAAGCACTGGACGGCTGTTTCATCCTAGTACGGGACTCCTCAGCAGTGCGCATCCACGATCCCGCACCATGCGGGGCTCGAACCCAGGACCTACTGGTTTCGCGCGCGAGCACTTAACCACTAGACCACTGAGCCGGCATCCAACGGTGTTAATGTCTAACTTCAACCAATCCACGAAGTTGCGCCACCGTACACCATTGTCTTCAGTGAGTTCCTATCTCACAACAGACTGACTTCAAGAAAAAATCCCGAAGTTCTAGTGAGAAGCCGTTATCTTGTATAATCATTTATTGACTAGGTCCGAAACAAATTCCATTAAGAGTTTTGTTGGAATATTATGATCTATGGAGTGAGACAATTATAGAGTAGGACACTAAGAAAACAATAATATTGTAAGATCATTTCTACTCTATATTGTTAATTGACTGAAGCCATTACTATCCGATTTACTTGATTTATATTCAATAGCTACATCGTATTTGCTGTACCACTTACAGCTTCACTGTATCGAATTCCCATTGTAAAGTCATGATTATACACTGCTGATTAGCTCAATACTAAAGATCTCTACAAGAAAAAAATCCAACTAATTAATAACAGTCAGTATAGGATTGTGAAGATTGTTGAATTTAATTATAATCATGTAACAATCATTGTTGTACTTATTGAAATACACCACCAAACACTGGGCTCAATAGTATATAGGTTAAGTGTTCACCTGCAAGATTGAAGGTTCTCAGTTCTATTCCCATTTTGGGGGTTTACGGACGCTCACTTCTGAAGAGACATCAACGGCAAGAAATTGATGAAGATTATCAGTAATGAAAATTTGTAGAAGTACTTCAACTAAGGATTTGATCACTGGCATGGTTGAGATTTTATATATATATATTTTTCATTCAGCAATCTCAATAAGCTAAGATGAAACCGATCGTCTCAGTGGTCGCCCAACTTTTAGTCAGTTGTTTTGGCTTCATTGAATCCTTGAAATCAGTTGTAAATATGAAGGAAGCTATGTTTATAAAAAAGACTTTTATAAACGAAAAACAAAACAAAAAAATCATTCAAATTCATAGATTATTAACTATCAGATAAAAATAGAATTTTATTTCATGTTTTTCATGAATTGAAACATTGTCTTTTCACTTAACAAAAACACACAACAAAATTTCAATTCGGTTTTAATTAAACAGAACAAAAAGATAAATATATATATATATCGTTTGATCGAATAGAAAGTTGAATAATAAGTAAAGTGAGAAATGGTTGATGAGGAATAAGGAAGAAAGGTAACAAACAAAGTGTATGAAGGATATAGTGATGGAGAGAGAGGGAGAGGGAGAGGGAGAGGGAGAAGATAACTTCACATTAATTAAGTAAAAAAAATCTTTAAAATTGAACAACAACGAAACAACAAAGATTGATGATGATAATAATAACATAAAATGGATCGTATGTAGTCAAAATTAACATGATTAGAATATAGTGTTTTATCCATTAGACTATTCAATCTATCACAATCATACAAACATGCCGATTTACATACATGATTAACATAATTCATTTAAACCATCATTACTAAAGCATTTCATCCTATTGCCTGTCTTATTCTCTAGAGGCAATCACATATATATTTTATTATAAAATTAAAAATGAAAATTATTTTTTTCTTTT